TTACAAAGAACATATGAATTTCCGGTTTTCTGTGTTAGTAAATATTTCTTAAACCCCAGGTAACTATGAAAATGAATAAAACAACATTGCGTATATACCTCAAATAAAAGTAAAACTGATGTCGATCAAAAAGTTTGGTTTGCGCATGCGCAATCCGATTTTTTGACATCTCCGTTAGTTATGAACCGAATTTCATGAAATTTCTTATCTATGCACCTCGGATAAAAGTAAAACTAATGCCGATTCAAAAATTTGTTTTACAAACTATGCTGATCTGGTGGAATAGAATCATTCCATTAAGGTGTGTTGTGAAAATGATGTATGTGCGAAGATCTCGAGGATCGTTCGGTATTCAGTTCTGTTGTATCGGATTTTTTACTTTCTCAGGAACCATCTACACGAGTTCAACAAGCAACCCATTATTGCACTATAAAATAGGATTACAACATCAGTGGATTCAACTTCAATCGGGGATACAAAACGCTACAATAATTCTAGATATTCACTAGCATTATAATACTCGTACATACTAATCGCAATTTCCCAAGATTTTGTCACGGGATACGAATGGGTTCAATATTCAATCATTGCACTGCATCGACACTTATAATATACATAATGTACAACTGGCCAAAGGAATAAGTAATAACTGCCCAGAATGATTGCCTATATGTATTAGTACAATAACGTGTAAAATTATACTATCTCTACTATGTACGGAGATTAAAGGTTTTTGCTATGTAATGCCGGTATGCTAATAGCGCTTTTCGTGTGTTTGCTGTTTAACAGCATAAAAGTTTTTCGGGAAATGCAAATTTGCTTAATTTTCCGTTTTATCAAATCGCAATTACCTACTTTCCTTGCAAATTTGTAATCCAACTTTCACTAAATTAGGATTAACTATTGCTAGTTAAAACACGTGCTTTAGGTGCCACCCTTTGGGACTGAAAGTTTTTGTCCCATTTTTTTTCACTCCAAGTAAAAGTTTTGACTGTTCTCGCGGTAAAAAAAGATGACATAATCATGGCGATCGGATTGCAGCTTTTTTTCTGACAAGGGGTGGAATACACTCCTTAGATTGAAGGAAAATTGCCGACGGGAGATTCGAGTGTTAACGATATTTGTGATAAGCTTGAATGTTTTATGCTTTAAATAGCCTGCAAGTAACGCGGGTAACGAAAACAATCCAGATCTTCAGATGTTCTTGACTATAGTCATAATTTCATTTTTCCGGAAAATCGAAAAAATACGAAAAATGTCTACTTTTATACCCTCCGTAACTCTGGAATCGTTCATTTTAGCAACATTACACACAAGACCATTTTTGTTCACAATGTAATTATTTCTGTGTATCACACTTTTCTCGCTAAACCCCATAGTTTTCTAAATATTTAAGAAATACTGATAAAGCCACTAATATTGGACCCCCAACAGAAAGTTTTGATTCTCGTAAACGGGAAACGTCAAAAATTTGGAGATTGGCACAAAAAATGAGCACAATATTTTGGCGATGTAACAAATTGGGGTGCCGGCGCCAACTTTATTAGTAGTGGAGTGATCTTAGGAGTCCCTGCATCCGGCACTGTCATTTTGATTTACCTTATACCATAGGTGCTTATTCAATGCTTATACATACAGTTGGCAACTGGCTGGAGAAATGTACGAGGATGGCATTGAATAAAAAACCCAGCAAAATACACACAAATTTAAGAAATAAGAAACTACAATAACAAAATGCAAAACAGAAATACAGAAATCAACCATCTCAAGTTGTACATAATAAAAACCGAGTCAAATGCAGTGCAACAAATTAATAAAACCAAAGCACAAGAGACGTCATAAAGACAAATGGAAAACAAGA